AACAGAAACGCAAATTGATTTATTTTATAATGTAATTTGGCCTGTTAATAAATGCCAGTTTTTTGATGTCACAATTCACAATTTCATAATTGTCAGGTAAGTATCTTCTAAACTTCTATCAAGTTTTTCCATTTCGTTTTTAACACTGACTATAACACTGCACTGGCAAGACGATATTTCTTTGATAGTTTTCTAACAACCTTTTTCACACTATGTAAATCTCTGAAAAATTTGACAATATTGTTTTTGACATTTTGCCTTGTTTTGCACTCAAGTGTACGTCTTTGAACACAAAAAATCTAAAAAACTTAGAACTTCAAAGGATTACAACAAGTAAAACGGTTAATTATTGAAAGCTTCCATGCGCCTATTTTGGCACATTTGGTCTACTTAATATAAACATTCATTAAAATTGGAAATGCAATGCTTTTTTTGAAAGTTTATATCTCTCATATCTCAAGAATTAAAGTTATGGAAAATGTGGTACATAATTCAGAAAAGAATGAGCAATAATCTGAAATCAGTAAAAACTTAATAATAATAATAAAGCACTGTACACGTATGTATAAGTAAATACAACTCGGGAGGCGAAGTCTAGCAACTGCTATTCATACTTAACCCCTTAAAAAAAGAAGAAAAATTATTATTTTTTTTAATTTAAAAATTAAAGTTTAACTAAAATTAAGAAAAACTATTTAAGTAGAAATAACAGAAATTAAAACAAAAAGAAAATAACAAAAAGCAAAAGTAAAAAACTAGAAGTTCAAAAGATGTATTTCGAAAATTGTTCACTGAAAGTTTTTCTTTAAACAAATGAGAAGAATTGTATAACTTTATTGAGAGAGATCTCTTTTAAATATTGCTGTTTTAAACTTTGGTAATGACAGGTCAGCAATATTACGAACAGAAACTTGATGACAACTTTTTCTCGAATGAAATATTTCACGGAGATAGGATGGTGAAGCAGTAATTAACATTTTATATATGAACACTGACAAGAAATAATTGTTCTTTTATTTTTTGAGATACATGGTCAAATTTTCTTAATTTCTAAATAAAACGAGATTACGAATTTTGTAATTTTTGTAATTTATATTTAGATTGATAATCTAAACATGAATAATAAATAATGAGACCATAATTAAGGTTGGAAAGCACCAATGACTCGCATAGTTTTTTTCGAAGTTTAAAATTCAAAATGTGATAATTGGAATCTATTATAATTCCAAGATTTTTTACACTGTTTGAGATACCTATTTTCAAACTACCAATTTTGAGATCAATTTCCGAGTTGATTTTGTTATTTCTTGTGGAAATGCAAATTGATGAACATTTACTGGAATTTAAATTCAAACCAACACTTTTAGACAATAAGAAAATTTTATTTAGATCTTGATTAATAAAATTGCAAGCTCGTTCTACATCATCAGGATCAAAATGATAATACAACTGTATATCATCTGTAAAGGCATGGATGTTAACATATTTTACCGATTCTAATATTTCTGCGCTGTATATTAAAAATAGAAGTGGCCCAAAATTGAACCCTGCGTAACATCGGATGTAATATTTCCTGCTCTTGATTGTGTAACAATTTGTTTCCTATTAGTAAGATACGGATTAAAAAAAATGTTGAAATGTTGTCAAAACCATAAAAAAATAATTTTGCACATAAAAGTAAGTGGTCTTAAATTTTTGACACTTCAAAAATGTCAAAAAAATAGAAATAATGTGTGAATCTGATATTAAATTGTTGAAATGGAGTAGTGCGCTCCCTCAAAAGTAAGAAAAACTAAACAAAAGCAATTTAATATTAATTTAGCAAAATATTATTCGTAACTTGACAATTTGAAAGAAAAAAATCCCGGTATTTTTGTAATATTAAACGTTGGCAATTCTGCATATTACCGCCCAAGAGAAGTAATGTTGTTACTTCTCATGAGATATAATGACGTGTTTCCCAACCTTTAAAAGGTTGGTGATTGTGAATAAAGAAATCATCAATTTTTTTATAGTTTTATTCTAAATTGTAAAAATTTTATAGACTTATACTCGCGTATGGATATTGCAGGGTTGGATTGGGATAAAAGCTAATATCGTTTAAAGTGTCGTGGGTGTTACGGGGCGTCAATAGTGCGTTAAAGAAAGAAACGTAAATGGCAAAGAAGATGAGGAACAGATTAAACGATTCTACGTGAGAATTTTGGCGATCGTCGAATATTGAGGAGGTATATGAGCGGAATCCAAGATTAGGTTAAAAAAGAAGTGATCTTATTTTGGAAACAGATTATTATAATATGTAAAGAAGGTGGATGAATGCCGCGCACGAACTGTCTCTGTATATGTACTCGTCGTTTTTTACCGTCTCTTCTTTATCCCATTATTTGGTGGAACGGCAACATGTCCATTCGCATGTAAAATCCTTGTATTAAATCCAACAAGATCGTCATGTAAATTTTAATTTCGCCGCTGTGGAAAATCCTGAAAATAAATTAACGCAGTAATTAAAGCAGGATGTTGCCGGATTCGTTTCCCTAAACAGATTCCTTGCAGTCTCTGGAATTATAGGGGGCAAAAGTCGGGCGATAAGCCCTCAAGTTTTAACGGCCGTGATATCCGCTGGCCACCCATTCAAGTAGCTGAGCGCAATATTAGCTGCTGATGGAGCAATACCCTACGTGTTATTGCAAGCGCCAGCTTGTGAGCTTTTAACAACGGCTTCATTATAAACAAACCCATATTTTCGGACACATTCTTAACACACAAACGAAATCAAGGTCGACTTGACTTACCAAAAATACAAGTGGCTCAAGAATAAACACCAAGCCACAAAATGATTATAGCCTCTTTGTTTGGGTATTTGGAAATAAAAATGAAGAGGATTTTATCGGCTTTTTGACTGGTAGTATTCAGAAAGTAGGTACTAACCGACTTTTTCTTATTATTCAGTAAAACTCAAAAAAATTTATGCAAAAAGATTTAGTATTCAATTTTTCAACAAAAGGACGGATATTTTTTTCAAGTTTTAAAAGCAACAAAAAAAAAACAGATTATTTTTCTACAAGTGATCAAAACCATCGTGTTATTTATTGTAACGCGGTACAAATATCTTTATTCTCTTATAAAACGTTGCCACCTGGTCGTTTAATCTCTTTTTCCTATTATACGAGAGCTTGTCGCTTCTTTGTGAATAAATTTTTGGTGATATTATGTATAATAAGTTGTTTAAAGTTTTGTTTATACCATGGGCGCCGACTTTTTATACAGGGTGGGCCAGAACTCGCGCCCTGAGAAGAATGCTATATAATGTAAGATACCAGGAACATGGAAAAAAAACTTTTAATTAACGCAATTAATTTGAGAAGAGTAAAATTAGAGTATGCGAAAGCTAAGTAGTCTCAAAAATTAGTCAGTATTAGTTCTTAATTTTGTTATAAATTTTCAAAAATATATATATTTTTAAATTTCGATTTTTTTTAATATAACATGCAAAATTGTAAAAAAAATTGCTTTTGAATTTTGATGAAGATTACACAATGTTCAGAAACAATTATTTCCTTTAATTCTTTTGAAAAACTTTGACCAATCGGTCCGAGGAAAACAGTTTGTTGTATCGATTTAAAAATTTAGAGCTTTTGGCTGTAAAAAAACGTAGACACATTAGTCTCCCCCTTAGTATTTGTGAATAACCGGTGGATTTACTACAACAACAAAAACAGTTACTTTTTCTCTTTTCTTTAATACAATATGCGAATAAAAAAATTTTTTTTTCAAAAAAAATCATAAAAATATTTTCTAGAAAAGTTATTCCAGTTTTTGAAAGTGGAAACTGTCTTTACATTCTCTGTGTGGTCATTGGTTGCTGAGATATCGATGATCAAAGACAAAAGTACCCATTTTCATTAAAAGTCAAATATGTCAGCGGCAAATTGACATGAGGAAAACATAAAAAAAGCAAATTAAAGCTGAATGAGCAAACTATCTGGCCCATGCATTGATTTAACTAATAAAAATTTCCCCAAGTCCGTGAACCAAAAAAAAACCAAAAAATTACAGTTTTTTTTCCTCTCGTTATTTCTTAGGATTTCGTCATAAACGTAGCTCAGAATTTTTTTGCCAAGAGATCTCAAGACTAAAAACTTGAAGCTTCAAAATGGATTTTTTTTAATATAAACACAATAATTTTTCATTGAGGTACAATATTTTAAAAATCATCAAAAAATTTAAGATTTTTTTTGTTTCCCAATTTTTTTGTAATACATAGTATGTAAAAAGTTAATGTAGAATGTTTTGTTGTTTTAAAGTAAACTGCTCCACAAAAGTTAAGGAAGTCGTATTATTTTTACAACAATCAAATTTTATTCTTCTAAGCCTTGTGGAATCCAGCAAAAACAAAAAAGTAAAAAGATATCTGTCTTTATCTTGCTTTTAATTAATTATTGATTTATATTTTAATAATTCATTAATTTAATTAATTATTGTAATTATTGCACACTTCCTTAACTTTTGTGGAGCAGCAATTAATTTGAAAAATGGAAGAACAAAATAGAAAAACATAAAATAGAAAAATACAAAATTTAAGATGTCTTTGACGGTAAAAATGATTTAAAAAATGCAACGTTACTAAAAAAAGATTAGAATAAACACGAAATTTCAAATATTATTAAGAATTTTATTATTTTTTTACCGTAAGCAAGAGTACATTATTAAAAAAACTTAATGGGTGCATTTGAGAACCAATATCGGACCATGAAAAATAAGATTATATTCAAGACAATTAATTAATCAGTAAATTTTCTGTATTTATTTGCAACGTGTATGCTTGTACAATTATTATTATTGTAAATAAATGCACTATTTATTAATTATTATTTATTTATTATTATTTATTATTATTTATTTCACTTATATTTACATTAAAATATTAGCTCAAAAATCCCCAAACTAAATAAAGGGGATTGTTTATACTATTTATGATGTTTTTGGTGAAAATAATTGTATTGAGCTTTGAGCAAATTTATTAAACATTTTTTCAGATACAAATTACAAATTATTAGAATCCCTAAAGAATAATTTGAATTATATATAACACGTATATCATAACAATGTACAGCAATTTAATCACATAAAATTGAGTAAGTTAAATTCATTTCGCTTCTAACTGTCTCACAACTGAAATTGTTTTTTCTTAAATAAACTTGTTTGAGTTTAGGTAAAGTTTCAGTAAGAAATACAGATTCAGTTTTTGTGAGGTGATTGCCTTCTAAATGAAGTTCCTCAAGATTCACTAGTCCATTAAAAGCGTTATCTTCAATAGTGTTAATCCGATTAGATGATAAATTTAAAATATGTAAATTGCTTAAGACATAAAAACTCGAACTATTTAAATGTTCTAAATAATTCAAGGATAAATCAAGTAATCTCAATTGTTTTAAGTTTTCTAACTCGCTAGGTGAAATAGTTCTAATAAGATTATGTCGCAAATATAAATTACTTAAACTGTTTAAACCTTTCCAGTTAATATTATTTACAAATTCGATATAATTAGCAGATATATCAAGAGTGTTCAAATTGCTACAATTAGAAAAAGCCTCCTCTTTGATGTTTGAAATTTTGTTACCCATTAAACCCAACACTTTTAAGTGAGTCAAACTGGAGAAAGCCCCTTTCTTAATTTCCCGTACTTCAGAAGTGTTGAAATAAAGACCTTCCAGATGTGTCAATCTACTGAAAAAGTTTGCTTGCACCACTGACATATTTCCATGAAGGATACATAAGTTGGGTTGGTTAACATCAAGATGTGGTCCATGTTTAGGAGTTATAAATACACATATAGTTACGTTAGTTACATCATTGTAATTCCGACAACTCGCCGAAATTTGGGAGGCAACTACCAAAAAAGTTATCAAGCTCAGATTTCGCATGGTGGTAAAACTGAAATTAATAAAGTTAGGAGAGAAAAACAGGACGTTTTACTTACAGCAGCGAGTTGTGATTCGGTTTAATTAAAGGTCCAATGGTTCAGTGATAAAGATAAGTGCGTTTAACCTTGTTAAAGATTTATTTATTCCGATTCGGTGTAAATACGGGACTTTGGAGCTTAAACGGTCGAAGCGCGAGATTAAAATTTCATCGGTAAAAAACGTTCTAAGGGAACATTTTAAAAGTGAAACAAAAATTTTTCTTAAATTTTTTGGTGATTTTTTAAAGGCTGTAATTCATCTAAAAATTGTTGTATCTGAATTTAAAAAAAGCATTTGAAAGCTTTAAGTTTCTAGTTTTAAGATCTTTTGGCAAAAATATTTTTTATGCGACAGTTACCACACAATCCTCATTAATATCGTGGAAAATTTTTTTTAATTTTCTTGTTTTTGTTTTTGGTCCACGGACGTCGGGATTTTTTTTTAGTTAAGTCAATGCATAGGCCGGATGGCATGTTTGTTCACCTTTAATATGATTTTTTCATATTCTTTTTACGTCAATTTGTCGTTGAGATTTTTGACTTTAAATGAAAAAAGATCCTTTTGTCTTTGATCATCGATACCTCAGCAACCAATGACCACAGAGAGAATATAAAAGTAGTGTTAAAACTGGGATAACTGTCTTTTATAGTTTTTAAAAAATATTTTTTTTAACTCAACATTGATTTAAAGGAAAGAGAAAAAAGTATTTTTTTGCGTTGTTTTAGTAAATTTACCTGGTATTCACTAATATTGATGAGGAGACTAATGTTTTTAGGTGTTTTTACAGCTCAATATATCCCCCATAGCCTTGGTAATTTTTAAATCGATCCATCGAACCGTTTTCTCGCACCGATTGATCAAAATTTTGCAAAAGAATAAAAAACAATATGTGCAATTGTTCCTTTACAATTGTACATATTGTTTCTGAATATTGTCTAATCTTCATCAAATTTTTTTTACAATTCCGCATTAGTTGTTTTCTAAAAATAAAAAAATTAACAAATTTTGTTTTTTTTTTTTTTGAAAATTTGTAAAAACATTCAAAATACAATACTGCTTAATTTTTGAAAAAACATTTCAAAATAATTGTGTTAGATTTTTTAAATGGGTAAAAAAATTTAAGATTCAATACTGATTAATTCTTGAAAAAAAAACTACTTTTTTAAGTTTTTTTTTGAATTATTATAAATTTATTTTGTACTCAATGTTAAAGAGTGCTTTTATCGACTAATTTCAGTAGATAAAGTATTTTTTTACCGTCTTGTGAAATAAAGTAATTTTTATCTACTGTTTATATTTAAGAAATTCTGGTAGGTGAGTCCAAAATAAAACGAAATATTATACACGACGATAAAGATTGTTTATCTACTCGTGAAAAAAGTTTAACTTACCCCTTTCACTCGTAGATAAACAATTTTTTGATCGTCTTGTATAATAAATAACTATTAAATAATGTAAAATTGTATAAAAATGTAAAATCTTATTTTGACAAAGAGTAAACATTAGTCTTCCTATCAATATTAGTGAATACGCGGTAAATTTATTAAAACAACGCAAAAAGTTACTTATTTCTCTTTTCTTTAAATCCATGTTGAGGGTGAAAAAATATATTTTCCAAAAAACGGTATTAAAGGTGAAAAAAACCTGCTATCCGGCCTATGCATTGACTTAACTAAAAAAAAATCCCGACGTCCGTGGACCAAAAACAAAAACAAGAAAATTTAGATTTTTTTTCTCACGATATTACTTAGAATTGCTTGGTAACCGTACAACGAAAAAAAATTACCAAAAGATCTCAAAACTAGAAACTTAAGGCTTCAAAACAGTTTTCTTTAATCTAAATACGACCATTTTTAGATGAATTGCAACCTTTTAAAAATCACCAAAAAATTTTCGAAAAAGTTTTGTTCCTTTAATTTTTTAGAGTAGTGTACTCGTACAACATTTTGGTCAATACAAAGTGTCCTAGATAAAAGGGACATTCTAATTTCTAATGCTTAAAGTTAAAAATAAATTAAAGTGGTATTTATTGTAGTGTGTCTTTGATCTCGTAATTTTTTATTTGTTGAAAGCTTCTTTGGGGTTCGATTTATAGCGCTTTCTCTTGTATTGGAATCGATGCATTAATGCAAGCTGTGGCGTCTGCGGCGTCATAGAATCGTGCAACAGTTTAGTCGCGTAATTGCGTTATCTCGTGCCTCTTCTGCACCAAGTCCGATAAAATGTGTACAACAAGGATGGCCCTCGCGGATCTGCATTAACCTACTACATCTGCTATTAACACACACACATACATTCGATTACGTCGCTTTGAATATTTAATCACATCCATTTCAGTTAAATGTAAATGCTAAAATGATTTGCGTTGTCTTTGAGCTGACAAATGGCAGGAAAATTAATTTTGTACTTAGGGTGTGATTGACAGTTGTGTTAAACCTTCCGAATAAATAAACAAAAGTGAAGCGAAACAACGAAATCATCTTCTCGTTCGTCGAGCTGAAAAAGCACAGCTTTGTGTTGTGCAGACTTCCGCTTAAGCCATGTATAATAAACTCGCGTCTTCTTTGTTGTCAGTAAAACAATTACAATGCGGCATTGAATCCGAGCTCGGGGCAAGTAGCTTATCATGTGTGAAAACGCATAAGCGCGTTCTTTTCTCATGGTAATTCCTCATCCGGCGGAAAGACTACAACTTGAAGAATACGCTGAGGAGGAATTGATCTCAATCCATCAATAAGGCTCACGAGCATCTGACAATCCTTAGCCGCGGATTTTTACTGGATTGCCGAAAAATCGACGCACGATCAAACCGCTATGTCTTTCAAACGTTCCTACTTCATTCTCTTTTCAAAAGAGTTGTAACGTTCACCATGATGGAGGTTTGACGTTTATGATATTCGGTTCACGCTCCGAATTTCGTTATTTATGCTGATTTACATTTCAATCGTCCCAACGAAACATCTTTCTATTCACTCCCTTCATTGTTGTTTAGTTTTTCCAATATCTCATAGTCGAGCGTTTCCTTCTTCAGCGCTGGATCCGTCAGCAGAAACAACCCATTCAATTTCACAAACGTTGCGCGTTGTACAAATGCGTTTTAGTTACCAAACAACACAACATATTTTTGAATTAAGATTTCTTTGTTTTTAGTTTCTAGACTTCATTTCTTTAATTACACTTACCAAAACAAAATTTTTCTTTAGACAAAAGAACTACACTGGACAACTAAAATTTTCCGATTTTTCACATTGCAATATTTTTTGGCGGATTTCGACGAATTTTCGTTTGGCATAAAGAAAAAACTTTGTAGGTTTTTGTAATTTAATTCAATAGCATTTCTAGTTTTGTCTTCTAAATGTGATACTCAAAAAACAAAGGCACTGTTTACTTATTTTTATACTTTGCTGTAGTGTGCGACAGAGACAAACTTAAGTTTTTACTGATTCCGGATTATTGCTCATTCTTTTCTGAATTATGTATCACATTTTCCATAATTATAATTCTTGAAGCATGAGAGATATAAATCTTCAAAAAAAGCATTACATTTACAATTTCAATGAATGTTTACATTAAGTAGACCAAATGTGCCAAAACGTCAAAATAGGCGAATGAATGCTTCCAATAATTATCCGTTTTACTTGTTGTAATCCTTTCAAGTATCAAGTTTTTCAGATTTTTTGTGTTCAAAGACGTAATTGGAGACATAATTTTCGGTTTAACTACCTTTTTATGTAGCCTATTTTCTCAACGAATATTTAGTAACATTAGAAAAGCAAAGTCTTTTTCAATGTTTTGTATTTCTGGGACACTAGAAGATAAAATTTTGAAACAAACTGGTCATCATTTAGAAAAAAAGGGGCAATAATCAAATATAAGTAAAAAACTTAATTTTGTCTCTGTTGCACACTACAGCTAAAAGTAAAAAACAGTGTCTTTTTATAGGTATAACATTTACAAGACAAAACTAGAAATGATGTTCTGCAAAATTCATTGTTTAAGCCAAACAAACATTCGTCGAAATCCGACAAAGAATAACAAAAATATTGTTAAATCGCCAAATTTTAGTTGTCCGGTTAATTTTGACGGCCAGTGTATATGTTTCTTGAGGTGCTGAATAATTCAGACTTGATAATCATTCAATTTTATTTTGGAAAAATGTTGAAAAAATCGGACTTAAATTTCTGAAAATGACATTTGTTTTTGTTTATTTTTGAAACATCTATTTGGCACTTTCCTGTTCACAATATGCTTAAAAGTTTCAAAAACATAGAATATTATATCTACATACTTATAATAAGCTGATATATTTTGAATCTACCTCAGAGCTGGGTAAAATTTAGATTATATAATTTATTCATTTTTTGTTATTTCACAGTCGAAATGTTCGTTTGTAAAACTTCTGTGCAATATTAAATTCTTGTAAAAAGCATTGGCTTCTTCAGTTATTTAGACATCAATTTTATTGTACTTTCTCTTATTTAAAGTGAAGCATTTTTTTTAATATTTAATTTGGAAATCATCTAGACGCAATACTCTTTTGATTTCACAGAAGTATACTTCAAAATTGGTAAAGTAAACAATTTCTTCGACTTAGCTTTTCTGTACAATTTTTATTTTTTTTAAAAAAATGCGATTATATACACGAAAATATATACGAAAACTTAGAACATAGAGTATAAAGTTCCAATTAAAATGCTCAAAAATAGTCTAAAAAAATTAAAACTGTAAGTTTCAACTTTCCTAAAAACTTTTAAATTAATAGTATTAATGGTATACCTATTATGTTACTAGGAGTAAAAGTGATGGTTTATGTGGCGAAGTTGAACGGAGTGAGAGCCACATAAACTCACTTTTACCAAATAACATACAAGGTGCGCCAGAACTCGCGCCCCAGAGAAAAATGCCATATAAGGTAAGATACCAGGAACATGGAAAAAATGTTAAAAAAAATTATCTATAAAAATTTCRAAGTTAWGAGGGYTTAAARTTTRCACTTTGACTCTATTTATTTCTGTTGAAAAAATAATTTTCCAAGTTTTTTTGCTACAGGCTATTAAAAGAGGAAACAAGGAAGCTGTATCCTAAATTGTAACTCTGTTCAATGTTATTTGTGGCTTTTAT